AACAAGGTTGCCAGTTTGACTGCTGCAGGGGATTGTGGGCTATGCCCACCTGCAACTAAGATTGAACACGGCACCTGAGCTGCGCTTCCCCGAGCTGCCGACGGGCGGCCGGATGGCGACTGGACTTGGAGCTGAGCTAGCTGCACCCTCCACAACTAAGACTGAAGGACAACGACTTGGCAGTTCCCCTTCCCCAATTCCCCAATAAAATCTTTAAAACAAAAAAAACCCCACTTAATACACATAGCAATTTAGTTTGAAAAATGTATCTGCACATTGTATGCTTCCAACATCTGTGAAGATGGGCAGAGAAGCTATCCGTGTGATCACTATTTTACAGCTGATGAGTTTAAGTTGAGGGAACTTAAATGATTTGAACCTAAATATGGCTGGCAAGTGAAAAGGACATCAGTGGTAGTATCATACCTAAATTTGAATCCTAGCTGAGTGACAGTGGGCTAAGTTACTGATCTCTCAGTTTTACTTCCCTCATCTATAAAAGGGGGAAAAAAAAAAAGTTCCTCCCTCATAGAATTTTTGGAGATCAAATGGTATTACATATGTCAAGTGTTCAGCATAATGTCTAGCATATAATAAAAGTTCAGTCTATCACAAATGGTATTATTAATTTGTTTTCAAAGGTACTACTCTTAACGATAAGATTCCAGTTTCTGAAAGCCAGGAGCGCTCCATTACTACTACCGTGTGAACAAGGACTAAATGTAGCATTATTCTGGAAAGATTAAGTACAGTGGTCTGTCTGCTCATGGATTCACATGCAAAGCACAGTACCACTAGTCAGATCCCCCATCACACTGGAGGATGAGCAGCAGAGCAGCAGGATATTTACAAAGATTGTATGGGAAACAAGGGAGGAAAAGTGGGAGGCAGCCGGTGGAGAAGGTCCTGAAAGCCACTTCTACTTTGACAGTGCTCTGTCCCTGTTATAACTCTGACTAATCACTGATTTCGTACATTATTCCAAGAAAGCCGTAAGGAACGCAAATAAATCAGCATAACACAAATTATTTTCCTCTTTGGCATTCAAATAAACACATTCTGTTCCAGGTCAAGTTGGAGCCCAGCACTGCTAAGAAGGGCCTCAGGTACCAATATGCTGTTTGGATTCTTTCATGTTCATTAACATATCAGTGACTTTCTGGAAGGCCCCCTGCATGACTGTGCCAATTCAGATGGAATTAGCTCCAAACTTAAAGAGGGGAGCCCTGGCTTCCAGTGCAGGACCTGACACGGAATTTCTGCGGAGTATTGAGTAAGTAGTATCAAGAGAATAAAGTTTGCATATCTCTGTACTCTCACCTATAAAATTATTCCTCAGGTCACTTTCTGTTTTACAAATCAAAGGTTGCATGACTTTAACGCGGTAACAGGCATTTTAGCCTACCCTGGGCATCAAATGCAACAGATATTTTACAGCTAGTTCCCTACCTCTAGCCCAACATTGACAAACAATATAATATGTCACTTTATACTCTGGGAAGTAATTTTATCGATTATGTTTTTTGATCCACATAACAAATCTGTAAGTGAATGTAGATTTTTAACAAACCCATTTAATTATTTATTTNACTGTGCCGAGGAGCTGCCATAAAACTGAAAGGTGGTTATATATGATGCCGAGCCTGTGGAGCACAGGGACACAACAGCGTCCCGGGCACGGCCAAGGATTCTGAGGTGCCCCAGGTGACTAGTGACAGTTGGATGATCATGATCTCAGATAATCACTTTAAATCACTTGGCAGATCTACCCAAGCTTCACACTGGCATCTGAAGTATTATGGTGAACTCGTTGTCCTTAACACAAAGGAATTGTGATAAGATTAAAAAAGACACATATCAGCCTTTATACATCGACTTACCACATCACATTGTTCTCTATGGTACTGAAAAATAAAGTTACATAGATTCCCTGGAAAACCTATCAAATTTGAACTCCTGTGCAATTTTGCAAATCACAGAAACCCCAAATCAGGGTGACCCATTCAACAGCTCTATGAAGACATCAGTAATAGAAAACCACAGAGACGGCTGCCAGTTTTATGAGTACTCTTATAAAAGAAAAGCTTTAGTGTTAGGTAAAAGTATAATTGTTATAACAATAATAAACTCCATGAATGACAGACAAAAACATTCACAGAGCACAATGTAAACATTAATAATCAAAACACACTCAAGGGCTGGCCAAGTGGCTCAGTTGGTTAAGAGCAGAAGCTCTGAGCAACACGGTGGCGGGTTTGATTCCCACATGGGCCAGTGAGCTGCGTCCGAGCTGAGCTGCTGCTGAGCTGCCAACAGGTGGCAACACACTCAGCTGGTGAGAACATGTGCTTCTAACAACAAGGTTGCTGGTTTGACTCCCGCAGGGGATTGTGGGCTATGCCCACCCGCAACTAAGATTGAACACGGCACCTGAGCTGAGCTTCCCCGAGCTGCCGATGGGCGGCCGGATGGCGACTGGACATGGAGCTGAGCTAGCTGCGCCATCCACAACTAAGACTGAAGGACAACGACTTGGCAGTTCCCCTTCCCCAATTCCCCAATAAAATCTTTAAAACAAAAAAAAACCACTTAATACACGTAGCAATTTAGTTTGAAAAATGTATCTGCACATTGTATGCTTCCAACATCTGTGAAGATGGGCAGAGAAGCTATCCGCGTGATCACTATTTTATAGCTGATGAGTTTAAGTTGAGGGAACTTAAATGATTTGAACCTAAATATGGCTGGCAAGTGAAAAGGACATCAGTGGTAGTGTCAGACCTAAATTTGAATCCTAGCTGAGTGACAGTGGGCTAAGTTACTGATCTCTCAGTTTTACTTCCCTCATCTATAAAAGGGCAAAAAAAAAAAAAAATGTTCCTCCCTCATAGGATTTTTGGAGATCAAATGGTATTACATATGCCAAGTGTTCAGCATAATGTCTAGCATATAATAAAAGTTCAGTCTATCACAAATGGTATCATTAATTTGTTTTCAAAGGTACTACTCTTAACGATAAGATTCCAGTTTCTGAAAGCCAGGAGCGCTCCATTACTACTACCGTATGAACAAGGACTAATGTAGCATTATTCTGGAAAGATTAAATGCAGTGGTCTGTCTGCTCATGGATTCACATGCAAAGCACAGTACCACTAGTCAGATCCCCCATCACACTGGAGGATGAGCAGCAGAGCAGCAGGAT